ACATGCCTGCTGAATGGCCCCAGGGGAACTTCTGCCTCTGCAGTCCTCACAAAGGCAGGGAAATCAAGAAGCCACCTCTGGAATGCATACACCAAGGCAGCCACAGTCCAGGAACCCACCGCCACAGCTGCTGCCACTGCCCCTCCACAACCTCAAGGGTAGACAGGACCCTGGAACGCTGAATTTGACTTCTGCTGCCACTGCAGCTTCTTAGCTTTCGTGAAAGTAGTATCTGGACCCAGGAACATTGCAGCCGTGCAGAAAACTCAAAACCCCTGCCCCCACATCTTCCTTCATAGCCACAGACAGAAGCAGCAGAAAGAGGGCCTCTACCTCCTTGCTGTCTTCCATATTGTTACTGAAAGCGGGGTCTGGCTGCTCGCCACTCAGAAGCCAATAAAGAGGCATGTTGGTGGAAAGGAAAATTTGCTGAGGAGAGGGCGGACTCCTGTCCAAAGGCCGACTCCCCACCCCACTGACAATCAGTGGGCAAGAGTTTTTATAGACGGAGGGAGGGGGCTACATGCAGAAACAGCACAGTCAGCTCTGAGAGTCATCTTGAAATTGGTCATGCAGTGGTCTGACCAGGGTCATCTTGATTGTTGTAAGTACAGTTGATCTTCACTTCCAGGGTTGGTTTGTTCCCATCGCCTTGAGGCCTGTTCTCGGAATTGTGGCAGCTGATGTCGTGGCTACAGTCTGGTCATCACGTAGCTAACTTCTTCCACCTGGTGGGGCTTTCAGTATCCATAACACAGCTCGCAGGATACGGCTCAGAATATTATCTATAGCCCCTGAGGAGGAACTAAACGTCCTTGACTTCGCTTAATGACCAAACTATTATTATTTGGTCTCCTTTGACTCTTTTCCTTTGTTTCGGCATGTTCTCACTTCTCTGATTAAACTTACTCTTTGGCTAAAGTTTTTCTACAGACAAAACGCAGGCTGAGGACATGGGGTGGGGGGCAGGCAAGGACCACAGGGTCCTGCTCCGTTTCAATATCGCTCAAGGATTGATCTAATTATTGCAATATCCAGACTTAGATGTAGAGTATTCTGGAAAATGTAATTTTGCCACCCATGTGGGATCTTAATTCCCCAACCAGGGATCGAACCCATGCCCGCTGCATTGGGAGTGTGGAGTCTTAACCACTGGACCACCAGGGAAGTCCCTGGAAAATGTAGTTTGTAATCATTCCAGTCTCTACTGTATGGAAAGCTATACTAGAATGACATTGAAATGAATATTGAGGAAGACAGTTCACCAGGGTGATTTCATTTAAATTGTATGGAAAACACTTTCTCTAGAGTAGCTGGGGTCACCATTACTATGTACCATTTTAAGTGATTTCAGTCATGTTTGCGTTTCTTCCATGTCTTAGACGTCTAGAATGTATAGATATACTTACATGTCTAGGATGACATGTAACATTTTAAAAACGAGTTAAAACTACCTGTTTAATTCACATGAGAACACATCTCAAGAAAACATAGTAGAAAAATATGTTTCTTCGAGGGATAGGACTTAATGTATGAGAGAGAATGGAGTCACAGCCAAGTCATATTTGTGCCATTGGTGAAAACAAGAGGTAAAGAAAAAGCACGTTGTTTTGTCCTCCCCACCCCCGACCCAATGCTGCTTCTCCTAGCCCACTGCACACCACGGACCTAGGAGCAGTAAGGATTGTAGTCAAACACCAGGGACCACATTTCCTAATATTCTCTAGCTTTTACTGTCTTCTGTTCACTCCATGGTTGGAGTTAAGTAGCTCCAACCATGCACTGAGTATGCCTGACAGTACTACCCCAGGAGGAATTCATGTGATATGAATGGGTATTAAACACTCACCTATGTTATGTCAGGCATCCTCTTCTAAACACACTTCAGTCAAATCAGTTGAGGCTGATTTGACTGAAAAACTTGGGCTTTATACACAGATATGGCTAACTGTCCACTAACATTTGTGTTTTTACATTTCATGTAGAGTGGTTGAGAAGTGTCCACCCAGCCACGGACTACATTTCCCAGTTACCCATACCTCTAGGTTGGGCCATGTAACTATTTCTAACCAATGGGAAGTTATTTTCATCTAAGGAGATTACAAAGTGATGGAGGTCATTCATTTTCTTCTTTTCCATCTATAGTTTGGAGACAACCAAGCTACTCTGGAAGTCATGTGCTGAAAATATCAGCTTCTACGGACCTAAATCTGTACCAGCTAGAGACCCCAACCCCTGCCCCTTCTGCCCACCTAGGACTGTTCAGGATAGTTGACATCAACAAGCAATAAATGTCTATTATGTTAAGTCATTGTATGTTTTTGTGTCAATGTTAGAGTAGCTAGCATTACCCCAATGAATTTAGTGTGTCCCTTGTCTTTCACCTTATAACCTTCCAGACCTTTGCAACATATTGCTGAAAGTCAACTCCATCATTTCCACCCCTCCTCAAAAACATCAAAAAAAATGAGAAGCCCGTGCACCGCAATGAAGAGTAGCCCCCGCTCACCGCAACTAGAGAAAGCCCGCGCGTAGCAATGAAGACCAAACGCAGCGAAAAATAAATAAAAAACAAATCAAAACAAGACACTGAGATACCATATTTTCCTAGAGTTTTATTCAGAAATTATATTTAGGAAGATTAGGGAACATTAGAAACTGTAAGAAATATACTGTACTCGTTATATACTTACTGTATATAACCAATATAAGTAGGAATACAAGTGCAGAAGTTCCACAAACAGAAAAGTAAATGTTTCAAAAGAATGAAATATATTTAAAAGTATCATTTCATTCCACTGACCTCACTAGTGGGAATTTTTGCACCCTCAGAACCAGGCTGTGACCTATTTGTGTTGCAGGGCAGATTTTGACTGATGGATCATATTGGATTGAGAGTTGTTTATATATACATAAACAAATTTTAATGCCCACTGTAGCCAAAGTATATACAAGAGTCTGTGGGGTAGAGAACCTGTGAATTTAATTTTGAGAACTCAGTAGACTCCTGTGCTGCTAAGGCTGTAAAGGCTTGTAGAGATTCTCAGCTCAACCTTAGTATTTTATAGATGAGAAGTAAGACAGTCAGATTCAGGGAAGCTAAGGTGACTCACTCATGGTTAGGCTGGGACTTCTAACTTCCAATCAGGTGTCTTTCTGTTCAATTATAAACTTGATATTTAGATGAACCAGCTGGTGGACAGAAACCAGGCGCAAACCCACAGCATGAATCAGATCCCGTAGACAGACCCACCTTTGGACCTGTCGGCCCCGGAACGCAAAACACCCTCTTTCCAAGAGCATGGTGGCTCTCCACCCGGCCACCTAAACAGGATGGCAGGAGTAGCTAGAAAAACAGATTCAGTATAATTTTGTATTTGGCAAATTGAGTATGTGTTACCTTGGAAACACAGCAAAGTACCAGTGAATTTTGGTTTTAAGCTATGGGCCCTCAAGGAGACTGCAGGGGAGTGAGAGCTTATGTACAAACAAGCCATCTCAGTGCCACATGCTGAGTCCTGTTTTAGAGTCAAGTCCCAGTGGTGGTCCCTCCTTCCCAGAGGAGGTCTCCACGGGGGTGATTCGTCAGTAATCACAGGAGTTTTCCATGCACCCAGCAGCACCCTTAGATTTGGGCAAGAGGCCTGAGGTCCTGCATGTTAGGGTCCCACATACCAAAAGCATATGGACATAAATCTATTAAAGGATACAAGGGCCCCTCTGCCACGCAGGATCCAGAACTTGGCCTGTAATCCTCAACATCCGCTGCTGTGAGATGACACACCGTTCGGGCCCTGGGGAAATGGTGTCTGCAGCCCTTACCCTATGTCCTGGAAATGGGGGCTCACGACTGCTGTGGAGGTTTGTGGGCTGATTGCTTCAGAAAGCATGGAGGAGGATTTGTGGGATGGAGAGACACTTAGGCAAGAGAAGAGCCTGACTGACTTGTCAAACGCTTCCTCAGAATATTCTTGTATCATAAAGTATCATTTCCATAAGGCGTGGCAAGCATCCATTTTTTTGCATCTTCTTGTGTTCTAATTCCTTGT